TTTAGGGTAGAGGTGGGACGTTCGTAATACCCGCAGATAGACGACCAAGACTCAGCTAATACGACGCTCAGCATCTCACACGCTCGTTATGAGACCGGCGAAGCCAGCATCCAAGTCCCGGTTGATGTCAGTGTCCTCCTCCCCAGAAGCCAACTTGATTGCCACGTTATGGGTTTCCTCGATAATGTTATTGCTGGTGTCGGTCCTGGCCAACTTCAGCAGAGGCGCTAGATGAACCAATTGTTGAGGACTTTTCACTTTACCAATCATTATCACTATTTTCTTGGTGGCGACTTCGACCGCCGCATCGTCCTTAAGGACCTCTTCAATGGTGTTAATAGCCGTCGTGTCACCACTGCCCGCACTGGAGACTACCATTGCTAGTAGTCGGTCGAAGTCGTTGAAGGTCCAGAGGGAAGCGCAGGTGAGCAGGGCGCACATACCGCGGATCTCCTTCATCGTTTTAAGGCGGGCGAGGAGGTTCTGGTAAGCGTCGACGAGTTTAGTGTCGTAGGTAAGGATTTCCTCGGCTTGCTTGCTCAACTTCTTGTTGGTTTTCTGAACACCTACGCCGGTGCTTTTGTAGGCGGGGATGATATCTTTCATAACAGCGACACCGGTGAGGACGGCGCGTCGACTAAGGCGTTTGTCGACTTTGGCGGAGTTATCACAAATTGCCCAAATGGCCTGCATCCAGTCTATGTTCTCGTTGGGGTTGGAGCATATCTTGTCGGCAGCAGCTGCTAACCATCGCTCCATTGTAGGGACGGTGTCGTGGGTGAAGGATGAGGGCTTCTTGAGACGCTCTAAGACGGGCCAGAGACGATGGGCGTCATCTTTAGTGACGGTCATATGGGAAGATAATGAAGCCTGAGCAAAGCTCGTAACGGGGTCAACCTATGGTGACTCACCACTGGTGAGTACCTGCCCAACTTATGAGAGTTATACACTGACTCTACTACCAATTCTTACTGGAGATAAGAGAGTGCGGCAATGACTTGACTGACTCGAAAGATGTCACGCGTGGGAATAGAACCAGGGTGTCTGGAAAGGGAAGGGTCTCGAAAAAAAATCGATTATCAGGGCGTGCAATAACTCCACGACGGTCGTGATTGCAAGCCATTGATCGGTCTTAATGGGGATTTGCGCTGACAACGGATTCTTGGGATGGTTAGAGGTCCCTGGAGGTCGGTAGTTGGCCGCGGGTGTGGTGGGGATTAGGTCTCGGGGACAGGGTGAAGGGCAAAAGATACCTTTGGGGTCGGCTGGGAGTATCTTGCGCCGTTTCAGTTCGTTACGACGGTTATTTTCCGTTGACCATCCGATCGTCCGATCGGATTATACAGCAACTTAAAAGAAGCTCGAAAAAGAAAAAATGAGTAAGTCTGGGTCCTGGCTACTTACCCTCATTACCATCGGTCTTCCCTCAGCTACCAATGCTAACCCTGCCAACCCTACCCCACCAGCTACTGCTGCCTCCCCGGGGGGGCCGACTACTACTGGGCCTCCTCAAGCCACTACTGCCCAGCCTGGTGGTCCTCCTGGAGGTACTCCGAGTCAGCAGTTCGCCTCCCTCTATGCTGGTGATCTCGCTCCGGACGTCACTGAGGCCGTCTTATATGAGGTCTTCAATGCAGTAGGTCTATGTCGCCTATGCCCAGTTGCCGAAACTCTGTCTTCCTCGTCCCCTCTCAGATTGGTCCGGTGGCCTCCATCCGCGTGTGTCGCGACTCTGTTACTCGCAAATCCCTCGGTTACGCCTATATCAACTTCCATAACGTCGCCGACGCCGAGCGTGCCCTCGACACTCTGAATTACTCCCCCATCAAGGGCAGGCCCTGTCGTCTCATGTGGAGCCACAGGGACCCGGCCTTACGCCGTAGTGGCGCCGGAAATGTCTATGTTAAGAACCTTGATAGAAACATCGACAACAAGGCTCTGTAGGGGAGGACGGACGACTTGCCGTTTACTTTTGCATTTTCCTACGTCTTCAGTTACGACACCTTCTCCCTATTCGGCAACATTCTCTCCTGCAAGGTCGCTTTGACCCCCGATGGGAAGTCCAGGGGCTTTGGTTTTGTCCACTTTGAATCGGACGAGTCCGCAGAGGCCGCGATCGCTAAGCTGAACGGAATGCAAATTGGGGAGAAGACTGTCTACGTGGCTCCATTCAAGAAGACGGCTGAAAGGTAGGGGGAGGGTGCTGACGAGGAGGGAGAGCAACGTTTTGCAGGAACGATGGAACTCCGAAAAACTTCACGAACGTTTATATTAAGCATATTCCGGCCTCCTGGAACGAGGAGAAGATCAAGGAGGAGTTTGGGGCCTTTGGGGAAATCACCAGCCTGGCTGTGCAGACGGTATAGTGGCGAAGGTGTGGTATGAGTTTTCTTTGATGGCGTATTTTTGTGGCAGGACCCTAAGGGGAGGAGGTTCGCCTTCGTTAATTATGCTGAATTTGAACAGGCCAGGGCGGCGGTGGAGGAGATGGACGGCAAGGATGTTAGAAATGAGGAAGAGAAGGCCGCTGATAGAGCGCAGAGGGTGAGGGGAATTTCGTGGCGCGCGAAATAATATTTCCCTCTTACAGGAACGTGAACGTGAGGAGAGAAAGGCAGCTCGTGAAGCTGCGAAGGCCGAAGGGAGAGAGGACGGTGATGATGTTGAATCTGATGATGACGATGAGGAGCCCGAGACCTCCCATTTGTACGTAGCTAGGGCTCAACCCAAGGCTGAACGTGCGGCTGTGCTGAAGGAACAGTTTTCGGCTTCCAGAGGGGCTCAGGGGGGCGGAAGGTTTGGTGGGGTTAATTTGTATGTGAAGAATTTGGGGGAGGACGTTGACGACGCTGAACTGAAGAAAATGTTCGAGCCCTTTGGGACGGTTACTTCGGTTAAGGTTATGGTTGATGACAAGGGGGTCTCGAGGGGATTCGGATTTGTGTGCTTTTCGACCCACGAGGAGGCAACCAAGGCGGTGACTGATATGCATCTGAAGCTGATCGGGGGGAAGCCGTTGTATGTGGGGATGCATGAAAAGAGGGAGCAACGTTTGGAGAGGCTCCAACAGAGGTATAGGGCACCGCCCCAGCAGATGGGAGGGTTCAATGGTCCACCGAGGGGAGGAGGAGGGTATGGTGGCATGGGGGGTGGTGGCCCAGGGATGCCTGGAGGGTTTGGTGGAGCCGGCCCAGGAGGGCCGGGTGGCTTCAATCAGCCGCAGCCTATGTATTATTCGGGAGGAGGAATGCCAAGGGGAGGGCCTCAGATGGGAGGTGGCGGGTATAGAGGAGGTATGCCGGGTGGCCCCCAGTATGGCCGTGGCCCTAGAGGGTTTGGTGGCCAGCAAGGTAGGGGTGCGGTCTGTCCAACTGGTTGGGGCTTGATTATTGTGTGATAGGTATGATGCCTGGTGGTGGAGGTGGAGGAGGAGGTCCTCGTGGCCCCCCCATGGGCATGGGCGTGAGGGGAGGTCCGTTTGGGCCCATGGGCGTGCCGGGCGGAGGACCACGTGGTCCTCCTCCCGGGGGCATGGGAGGAGGTGGTCCCCCAAGAGGCCCCCCTATGGGAATGCCCAACAGAGGGTTCCCACCCCAAGTACAGCAGCAACAAGGATCGATGGGAGGACCAGCACCACCACAGTCTACTGGTCAGCAACAAGTAAGGAGGAGGAAGGGTTGGTAAAGGACATATTCATTTGATCAGCCCTTGACGGCCGCTGGTTTGGCTGCAGCCCCACCAGCTATCCAAAAGCAGATGTTGGGAGAACAACTCTACACGCAGATCCAAAGGATCCAACCGCAATTGGCCGGGAAGATCACGGGTAGATGAAGACTTGCAATCTTACTTCATCTTGCAATTCCTCAACGCTAGGTATGATGCTCGAGATGGACAACAGTGAACTGCTCATTTTACTGGAGTCGGAATCACAGGTGGGGATGTGCCCTTTGGGGTCTACTATGAAAGTGGTGGTGTTCTTGTTGTAGCTGCGTGCGAAGGTTGATGAGGCCCTGATGGTGCTGCATTCGAAGTAAAGGATGATGAGTGATTATTGTTATTATGATGATGATGAATTTGGTTTGTCGTTGTATCACGAATGACGTGAATGATGGAGAGTAGTGAGATTTTGATGCTATGGTGGACTCGAGATTTTCCCTCTTATTTATCTATGCTTAATTTTTTATTGTTATTACATTTCGATCGGTGATGCGATCAAGGTGAGGTATGAGTGATGATGATGTTGTTGAGGTGGAGGAGGAGGAGAAGGTGGGAGGGTTATAATTTGATAGGAAAAGCGTAAAAACTGTAACTAGGATGCTGATGATTTGCAGTGTTTGTGGATAGATGGATTATGATGGTGATAATGTGGCGAGTAGCGTGATTTTGTTAACTCACTGTGTTGAGTCTAGTGCACTGTCAAAGGGGGTTTGCTTGGTTTTAGTGGGAGGTGCGGTATGGTAGATGCTCGTGCTACGACGGGTGTTGAGGAGGAGGCTTCTAGGCGGGGGCGGCCTGGGGCTGAGCAAAGACGATTTTTGGACTCAAAATTTGTGGTACCGGTAGCGAGCGATTCTGATTATGTTCATGACGTTAGTTTTAGCTATTATGGGGATAAGGTGTAAGTTGGGGGGAGGAATCTTGAGGTTGAGCGTGTAAGATACGGATCATGTCAGGGCGATGTGTACGTCAGCGCAGAATATATTGATTTGGAAAGTGAGCGAGGATGGTGATAACTGGGAGTTGGAGGCGTGCATTTCGGCAGCTCATAACGCCCCTATATGGCGGCTCGGTAGTGATCCTGGGTGATAGTACTTTGTAAAAGCCTTGGAAAAAACACCAGAGGAATCGCGTGGAGTATATGTTGCTGAGAAAGTCGTTCACTAGGCGTTCTTTGATCGGTTGTTTGGTAGACGCTTTTTAACGGTTGATAACGTATGCCATATTATCGCTCAGCAAACTGAGTTCTATCATCACTCTGCGTTGAATCATCCTTGGACGATTACACCAGTTGAGCTCTCAAGACCTTCGAAGATCTAGTTATACATTGAATATGTGTTACGTGCATTTGCAGGATTTTAATATCTCAACGGAATCTCTAGCATCAGCCTCAGAAGGAATCTTTTCTGCCGGGCTTTTTGCTGTGTTGATGTCGCTTTGTGAAGGAGTTGGCGGATCTGTATTAGCAGAGAGCTATGATGATGTTGATTTGAGGTGTGGGTGGAATTGAAACGGTTATAGGTTGGGTTTTTGGTAGACTGGGCATACCCGGAGTTTGGTGAGATAATAGCGAGCTGTAGCGAGGATCGAGTGGTGTCGATATGGAGTTGTGAGGAGTATGATGCTGAGAAGGTGTCGGCGTTCGATGAAGGATGTAGGGGTATCTTAGGTTTCCTACAAAATAGGTCCGCTGTTTTAGCTACTACCACCACTCGTTGGAGGAAGAGAGCATGTTTGACGGACAGCTCGCATGCCGTTACTGATATCCAATTCGCGCCACGTCGATGGGGGCTCAAGTTGGCCTCGTGTAGTGCTAGTGGCTGTGTCAGAACGTAATAGAGAGGGTGGGGTAAATCTGTCGATTGAATATAGTGTGCATAAGGCAGCAGCTAACTGGAGTTGTCGTGCTGTAGGTATGAGGCGATGGACCCTGTTAATCTTGCCACATGGGTGTTGGAGGATGTCATAACAGTGCATAGGATCCGGGCTGGGTCTCAAAATACTAGTACTACTACTAGTACCGCACCAGCAGCAACTCCTGCGGCGCCAACTGGTGTTATTCATGGGAGTGATGGCGACAAGACGTAGGGGGTTTGACTTCTTATTGGTGTCTTGATTCTCGTTCTGGCCCTCAGGAGGCTCCCGGTAGGGGCTACAGCGCTGTCCTGGTGTACAAGCTCGATAGTCCAGTGTGAAAGGCTGGTCGTAGTAGGGCATAGTGGTTTGGTGAAGTTACTCGACAATCAATCGGGTCGGCCGAGTAGTGGAGGTGGTCGGTCGGAGATAGCAGGAGGAGGAGGAGGGAGGTGGATCGAACGGTCGTGCGTGGTGGGGTGTAAAGACAGCACTGGACGGATGGCTGCTGCCAAGGACGTCGCATGGGCACCGAATTTATGCAGGTAGAGGCTATTGGTTGTTGCTATATGGCAGTGTTGGAGGTCCTTCACCTGAGCTCAGGAGTTTCCATACTGCTTTACATACGAATTCGGTTGGAGATATACAGGAACCAACAGAAACTTGTCAAAATTTCATCAGATTTCCCACCTTGTTACAGCATGTACATCTTCTCACCGATTACTATATGGTCTTGGCAGAGCTGTGTGATGAGCTCATTCGTGTTGCTATGAAGTCGTCTTGACCACAAGCGGAATAATATGCACGTGATTGATGATGCGTGAGTTTGGTGACAATATGAAAATTCGGGGAATTCTCAATGGGTTTTATACACTCCTATTCGAACTATACGACTATAATGTAACGAAGCTCCTTTCTACTGGTAGGCCTTTTGACGTCCTAGTGGTCTGTGGGAGTAGTAACCTCGTATGTATCTTCAACTGCTCGATATCTGGCAACCTCTCACACGTCCAGACTTTGGATCTCGGTCCGAATGCTGGGCCGGTGTGGAGGGTGGCGTGGGACCTGACTGGCACTATACTGGCGACGGCACAGGAAGGAGGGCAGGTGGGAATTTCGTGCCGCGTGACGTTTTTATTGTCAACTGGAAGGTACGAATATGGCATCGTGAGGAAACGAGGGAGGCGAAGTGGGTTGAGGATGTGAAGGGTCGGAGGTCTCCACCAACAATTCAGAGACGCCCGTAGGCGTTGTGTTGGTCACCATTTTTGTAACAGTTTCCAATGTTAATCGATCTGCGGCTTTATCAATGATTAGGGGTGAAGTGGCGATGGTGTGGTATGGGGCGTTTGATCGCTACTGGGTTCGACATAGTCTAATAGAGTGTCTTGAGGATGCTCTGTGAGCTGACTAGCATCTTGGAGGTGTACTGTTGGAGGAATATATGCTCGCTCTCCTCAGCTGAGCTCGAGAGGTAACATCCTCATTAGTGGAGTTCACGTACGACTCCGGGTAGAAATACACAAGAGGAGTATTTCCCGAAATTTCCTAAGAATTTTCATATTGTCATCAACATGTGTGGTTGACTACCACGTGCATATTTTCCCCCACACTAATTCAGCTTATGAGGAGGCAGCCTGGTCCAAGGGAGGCAGTAGTAGGGTTATTACTATCAAGTTTATCTTTTCATAATGTTAATCCCTAGCCCTAGGCAGCTAGTGAGGGGTTGTGGGTCCTGTCTGACCACTTCAGTTGATGTGCACACTCCAGGAGTAGCCTGGTTGAATCTGGGTGGTCGGAGATGGTTCGCTAAGCCCAAGCAGAGGAAACAGAAAAAGATAGTTCCTACAGCAGAGCACTTGGCAACGAAGGGCCTACCACCGATGCGTTTGGAAGATCGAATCGGCAACCCACAGAGCCCTTATGAGATTGCTAAGAATATCAGGCAGCATATCTCGAGGTTGACTAAACAGGATAGGAATCAGGTGTGAGAGGGTAGGATCAGTTGTGGACCAGTTCGAAGAATTTCTGTGGATTTTTATATATTTCTACCTCAAGTCGTGTAGAAATCTTCGAAATGTAGCTTTGGTAACTCCTGAGGAAAGCAAGCATATATTCCAACAACACTGGTGGGGACAATCAACGATCGCGAGAAACATCTAGGAGGTTTGTCGTCAGTGCTGCCAAATATGTACTCGCTTTCCTCAGCTGATGAGCTCAATAGTTTCCTCACTAATCATAGGAGTTCGTAGACGAATCGAGAAAAAATACGAGAAGTGGACAGAAACTAACAGAGTTTAGATATTGTCACCAACACTTGTGGTTGGTGATGTACCAATTTTACCACACTGCTTGTCGTAGCCTCTACTACGGGCCTATTGTGTGTAGCTCTTCGTATATGTATACTTCCCGCTCAGCAGTTGCGGCGCGGGCTCGTTTATCTCTGGT